AGACGGAGTCTTGCTCTGTGGCCCAGGCTGGAGTGCAGTGGGGCAATCCCGGTTGACTGCAACCTCCACCTCCTGGGTCAAGCAATTCTTCTGCCTCAGCCTCCCGATTACAAGCATGTCCCACCACGCCCAGATAATGTTTTGTATTTTTAGTAGAGACTGGGTTTCACCATGCTGGCCAGGCTGGTCTCAAACTCCTGACCTTGAGATCTGCCCCCATATCTCAGCCTCCCAAAGTGCTGGGATTACAGGTGTGAGCCAGGGCACCCAGCCAGCATTTAACATTTTAATGGTTTTAAATTCTTACCAGCAGTATGTGAAGTGTCTGTCACAACAGAAAAGATATGCTGAAGGATATCACAAAAATACGTTTGATAAAAACTCTGAGCTGCAGCTTCTTCTTGTGCAACATTTTGTAAGAGTGTAAAAAGTATCTGTAAGCCTAAAAAATATAGAATACCAATAGAAAGTTACTATCTAACTTTGTTCTCTCTTTCTCTTGGGATAATGAGTAATAATTACTTGGCTAAGATTTCTTAAATTAATAATGGAGTACAACTATATCCAATGCTGACTTATTTATAATTATAATCTAAGTTATGTGAGAGCTAAGCTATGAAAATATAAAGGCGTAAAGATAATATAATGGTCTTTGGGGACTTCAGGGTAAGGGTGTGTTGGGGGGTGATGGATAAAAGACTATACATCAACTAGAGTTCATATTGCTTGGGTGACGGGTGCACCAAAATCTCAGAAATCACCACTACAGAAACTTATTCATGTAACCAAAGACCACTGGTTCCCTAAAAACTACTGAAATAAAAATGAAAAATCTGTGAATATTTTAAAAGCCTATGGAAAAAATTATCTAAGTTGTGACTATTATCACCTTTTCACCATTTCTGAAAGCTTACCTGATTCTGTATGAACTTCTACAATAGCACTACTCAGTAGAACTTTGTATTACACAAACCAATTATTACTAAAACAAATGTTGACCCTTAGTGCTACAGAGGAAAAGCCTATGGGGAAAAGGAACACTCACTGGTGAGGATATAGAGCCATGTCTTTTAACTGATATACTCCTTATCTTGATTTAGGCCCTTCTCCCCATAACTCAGGTTTGCCTATGGACTCAATCTGGAACAGTTGCTTAAACTGCTTATAGTATTTTCTCAGACATTCACTTATGTAATTCATGCACTCAAAACTCTGAACACGTAATACCTTCCTTTGTACAATTATTTATATATATCATCTTACTTTGAATTGGCAGGCAAATGAATAAAACAGCATCATTTATTTACCTGTATCTGCGACATTCCTCATCGTATGTTTGAAGGCCCAAATGATGGAATCCAAAACAAGTTTAAACTGTGTAGGTGGAATAGCAAGGAATGCTGGGAAACAATGAGAATTGACAGCCTGAAGTAGTAAGAAAAAGTTTGTTCTGTGTTCAGGATATTCTTCAAAGTCCTAAAAATAAGTGGTGGAAAGAAAATAATGTTTCACTGTCTTTGTTATGTTAGACAGGAGGGGAAAAGGAAGCCTTAATCCAGTATAAATGTTTGGAGTTTCCAATAAACCCCCAGAAGATATAATATCACCTTAAAGGTAAACCCAAACAAAATATAATCCACGTCTCATGGAAAATAAAACTATCCCCTATTACCAACAAGAGTTATCCAACTGATAGAAGGCTAAACTTATTAATAAAGAGAACGCATCAAAACCATTATTACCATTAGACTGGTTTTTAATATGAAACTACTACTACAGATTAGGAAAAAAATTAAAGTTGCTATGTAAATGTGTCCACTTAACATCTTTCCTCCCTGGTTGTCTAGTGGTTAGGATTCAGCAAAAACAAAACAAAACAAAAAACCCAAAAAACAAAACAAAAAAAAACACAACATCTCCTTTCCTTTTTTTTTTTTTATGAGACGAAGTCTTGCCCTGTCACCCAGGCTGGAGTGCAATGGCACAATCTTGGCCTACTACAAGCAACCTCTGCCTCCTGAGTTCATGTGATTCTCCTGCCTCAGCCTCCCAAGTATCGGGGATTAGAGGTGCACACCACTACACCCAGCTAATTTTTTGTATTTTTAGTAAAGACAGGATTCCACTATGTTGGCCAGACTGGTCTCAAACTCCTGACCTCGTGATCCATCTGCCTTGGCCTCCCAAATTGCTGGGATTACAGGAATGAGCCACAGCACCAGGCCATTTTCCTGTTTCTTATAAGCATATACTACACTTTTATAATTAAAACATACAGACCTACTTTATCATTTATTCAAACAAATAAATAAAACTACGTTCACAAAAGAATGCCCGTGACCTGCTATGAGGTTTCAATAAATGCTACATGCCATGTGAAATGTTAAAATCTGTTTTCTATATTTACTTTTTACCAATCAAGATTCTGTGTAGTAAATTATTCTTGTTGTTTGAGAAATGGTCTCACTCTGTTGCCCATGTTGGAGTGCACTAGCGCCATCTTGGCTCACTGCCACCTTGAACTCCCAGGCTTAAGTCACCCTCCCACTTCGGCCTCTCATGTAGCTGGGCCTACAGGCACATGCCACCATGACTGGTAAATTTTTTAACTTTGCTCAGGTTGGTCTCAAACTCCTCGGCAGTAAATTCTTAAAAACCAAGAAAGTATTTCCCTAATATACAAGTTTAAATATTTAAACTCCATGCCATTAAAATTATGTTACATTCATAGATATACTTTAGCTTTCAAGAAGGATATCCTGCAGACTTTCCCCTTATATAACTGAAATATTACACACCTTATTTATCATATTCAATGTGCATTCAAAAACAGCATCAAATATTTGAGGTATTTCAGCTGTTATATGTCCCCCTAACTTGTTGACAATTATGGCCATAGTACTAAGCACTTCTGGTTCTCTAGCAGCTGGGACGTTTCTCTGATAATCAATGAGAACTGCATCCAACAGAGGGGGAACAAAATTTTCAGCTACCTGTTGAGGGGGGGAAAAAAAAGTTAAGTTTTAATCTAGGTACGTGGTGACTAATTCAGCATGATCATCTACTGAAAACAGAAAAATCTTGGGTTTGTATTATGTTTTCCTACCTTAAAACAGTTTTTAGGAAAAGCAAGCAGGAAATCACAATAGACTGGGAACTCTAATGGACACAGTGTCATTCAAAACTCTTTCGTTTTTTTTGGAGACAGTCTCACTTTGTCTCTCAGTCCAGAGTGCAGTGGCATAATCTCTGCTCACTGCAACCTCTACCTCCCAGGTTCAAGCAATTCTGCCTTAGTCTCTGGAGTAGCTTGGACTACAAGTATAGCCACCATGTCCAGCAATAAAACTCTTATATTAAGTGAGGTTCAAAACTGAGTGGCTGATTCCAACTTACTGTGGCAGAATCAGGATTCTAGGTATACTGTATATGTGAGATGGCAGAGAGTGAGCCCTCAATTTTTTAATCTAATAAATGCTAACTGGTATTTTCACAAGCAGAAATAACAATAATCAATTACTCCTAGAAAATGAGGAAGACTATGGATTTTTATAATTCCCTTTTTTGTTTTTCAAATAGAATCTTGCTATGTTGTCTAAACTGGACTTGAAGAGCTGGGGTGATTCTTCTGCTTTAGCCTCCCTAGTAGCTGGGATTACTGGTGCATTCTAAAATGCCCAGTAATATTTTCATGATTCTAAGTAAACTGAGTTTACTTAATGAGTAACTTCTTTTTCTTAATTTCATATTTATTGTGATGCAAAAAAATGATTTTTTTTTTTTTTTTTTGATGCAGTGTTACTCTGTTGCCTAGGATGGAGTGCAGTGGCACGATCTCAACTCACTGCAACCTCTGCCTCCCAGGTTCCAGCGATTCTCCTGCTTCAGCCTCTCAAGTAACTGGGATTTCAGGCACATGCCTCCAGCCCAGCTAAAAAAACATTATTATTTTTTGAGACAGAGTCTTGCTCTGCTGCCAGGCTGGAGTGCAGTGGCGCAATCTTGGCTCACTGCAACCTTCCATCTCTGGGTTCAAGCAATTCTCCTGCCTCAGCCTCCCGAGTAGCTGGGATTACAGGCATGTGCCACCACGCCCCGCTAATTTTGAATCTTTGTAGAGATGGGGATTTTACCATGTTGGTCAGGCTGGTCTTCAACTCCTGACCTCAGGTGATCCGCCCACCTCAGCCTCCCAAAATGCTAAGATTATAGGTGTGAGCCACCACACCTGGCCTAATTTTTGTATTTTTTTTTTTTTTTTTGAGACAGAGTTTCGCTCTTGTTACCCAGGCTGGAGTGCAATGGCGCAACCTCGGCTCACCGCAACCTCCGCCTCCTGGGTTCAGGTAATTCTCCTGCCTCAGCTTCCTGAGTAGCTGGGATTACAGGCACACGCCACCATGCCCAGCTAATTTTTTGTATTTTTAGTAGAGACGGGGTTTCACCATGTTGACCAGGATGGTCTCGATCTCTTGACCTCATGATCCACCCGCCTCGGCCTCCCAAAGTGCTGGGATTACAGGCGTGAGCCACCGCACCCAGCATTTTTGTATTCTGAGTAGAGATATGGTTTCGCCATGTTGGACAGGCTGGTCTCGAACTCTGAACTCAAGTGATCCACCCGCCTCGGCCTCCCAAAGGGCTGGAATTATAGGCATGAGCCACTGTTCCAAGCCAAGACAAGAAAAAGAAACACAATGTTTCATGTGAACAAAATCTTACTTATAAATAAAATGATACCCTTTGTATTATTCCCACTGTGCTCCTGACATGTGCCAAAGCTTCTTGTAAATTACAAACATCACAATTCCTTTAATACATCTTTTCTTGTTTTCAAATTTTAAATACAGTTCTGATCACATGATACACATATTTAAAACCTTCTGATGTCTAGGTTAGCCAACTTAATTATTCCACAAGAATTATATCCAGAACAAGTTTACTGAAGAAAATTATTTCCTTAACAAGAAACAATACTGAAATTTCAAAATTATGAAATTAACTAGCACACTTAAAAAAAACCCCAAAACAAAAACCCAAAAAACAAAACAGAAAAAACACTATTTCAAGTAGTAGTGATATCAGAATAGAACTTTTTGGAATGTCCCATGGTTCAAGTGAATACAACGAATAAAATGATATAGTAATATCTAAAACTAATTCACAATTTTACAAGTTGAGGGATAATGCAGCTGGTTTTTATTACCGAAAGTGATTTCCCTTTCTGCAAATCATTTAAGAAAAGGAAAAAGAATGTAAAAAAGACTTTCGAGCCTTTAATCTGGGAAATGGTCACTTAGCTAAAGAGGTAAAGTAATGATATTGGCTGTGGGTTTGTCATAAACAGCTCTTATATGTAAAAAAAAGAGAGAGAGATAAACTTTGTAGCTCTATTAATTGTTCTAAAAAGTCAAGAAGAATGCAAAAACAGCACCTGTACTCCATTAACTAAATCCTCCTAACCTATCTATGGAACTATAAAATGACCAAATCTTAGCTATCTTGCTACATTATCACCACATTTCCCTACTGATTAACAGCACCTTCTTTTGAAGATGAAATACAACTGTTAGTATATTAACATAAAGACTACAATATATAAAGTGCCATAAAATAACCACAAAGTAGATATCCTCTAAATTAGTAAAATGCACATAAAAGAGCATAACGTAGTCCATAAAACACCATAAAACACAGCATCAACACTAAACACCACAAGCAAAGCATTTCTCACTTACCATCTGTGGATCATTGGATCGGCTCACCCAACCAGATATTAACTTTAAAGTTTCCCTTTTTACTGTTCGCATACTTCTAATCAATGGTTGCTTTGTAACCATTTCACCTACAAAATAGAATCAAATGGAATCTAACTTTACCACTAAAATTATACAATGGTACTCAGGTGTACATTAGTTGCAATTTCATTTTATCATTAAAACGCATAAAGCCGGCTGAGTGTGGTGGCTGATGCTTGTAATCCCAGCACTTTGGGAGGCTGAGGCAGGTGAATCAAGAGGTCAGGAGTTCGAGGCCAGCCTGGCCAACATAGTGAAGCCCTGTCTCTATTAAAATAAAAAAAATTAGCCAGGCATGGTGGCAAATTTGGCCTCCCAAAGTGCTGGGATTACAGGTGTGAGCCACTGTGCCTGGCCTAAGACTAATTTTAAAAGGGAAAGGTACACCAACTGTTTTTTTTTTTTTTTTA